TCATCCGTGTTATTATTCTTCACGACTGATGAACGAACTTCTACAAGTCAGTTTATCAGTTGTGGCCACGAATGAATCCGGGTCCATTGCGAATTTACTATTTTTCTCTCTCTTGTTCATCTTCTTTCTCTTTTCGACACAGTTCGCGGTGATTCTTACGCGAAGAGCAATGTAAGTAAGTAACCCAGACCGCGGTACAACCGATTGGTAACATTTGAGTAAAACGGAAAAGCTCCTCGACAAATGCGTTACAACGTCGCAGACTCGATGTCGATTTATTCGATATGAACGAATCGAAAACATCGACATAGAACGCGTCGTTATTTACACGCCGCGTTAATCTCGGAAACGAGCTTCTCGAGAAAGCTGTGATAGCTTTATCGATCTTGAAATCGCGACTATAATGTCTAATAGTACACCGTCGTCGCTGTAATTGCTCCTACGGTGACGCAATTAGATGATTTTTTACCTTTGTGAAAAGACACTTGAGTAGATTGAGCACCGAGAACAAAGAGGCCCGAGGCGAAAGGCTTTCGCGTTAGCCCATGTCTTTCATTCGCCGTTGCCGCCGCGCGCGGAGCCTCGGCTCGCTCGTAATTTATTCTTGCCTCGACTTTCAGTCATCGTTTGGCTCGCCCACGGCGTTTCTCTGCGGCTTTGCATATTAATTACGCGTACCACGAGTAGCGAGCCTCTTCGAGCTATTTAGATGAACGGGGAATCGTTCTATCTCGAAGCTACTGGACTGCAATGCGAGCAGACGGGGCGTGGTGCCACGGCTGCGCTTTTCAACGCGAATCGAATATCTGGTCGTCACCGAAAGAAAGAAATCTATCCGGCCACTTGGAATTTGAGATCCTCTGTTTGCCAGGGCACAAAGAACTATTCGAGGTGTATCGACAGGCCGTTTAGAATGGCAGGACGGCCTCGCGGGTGTTTCCCGTTGCATTACGAAGCTCGGCCGTAGTCGGCCGATCTATCGTTTCCGAAACGGCAGGCCGGAGTGCAGCGAATCTCTTTCGGCCGATAAAATATACGGGCGCCACGCTGTCGACGCCCGGAGCTATTTTCGCGAACAAACGAGAGGACTCTTTTGGAAACAAACGGGCCAAGAAAGCCCAGCCCCGTCGTAGATTAAGAGGAAGAAAGGTCGGGTGAATGGCATCTTAGACCCTCGTTCGGAGCACCCTTCTGACAAGTAGTAGTCGACAGATATAAAAGCGAAGGTGGGAAGGCGGCGAGTGGCTTTGAATGTACTGTGGAAGGCAGTAGGTAGTTCGGAGTTAAGGATGGTTCGGGTTGAGAACTGTACGATCGATAGCCCGGCTGCACCCTCGCCGTTGCTGTTGTCGTGGCTGTTACTTTAATTATTAATTGTATCCAATCCGTCCCCTAGCTTCCCCATCAGTAGGTGCAGTGACACGTTCCAAGGTTGCGATGCACTAGGTGTGTTCCGTACGCTTTTCACTTCCCATCGCTTTCGTTACTTACGTTTCCTGTCGCGAGAATTTCTCTCGCTCCTCGAACGTTGTTGATCGGATTACCTTCATAAGCACGAGCAATCATGATGGTTCCCAGGATTCAACGGTGCTAAAAAGTATAGAAGGAAATATCTAATTAAGTATTGACGCTGACGAAAAATTTTTTTCTTCAAAATTTCGAAAAATGCTTCAAATAAAAGTTGTTTTCCTTCTAATTTCGATATTTAACGAGTTACGTATGA